GACACGCTAATAAAGAAATTGGAGTCCGTCTTAGAATGATGTATTTTATGCTACACTTTATACTGCACATAGTAAATAAACATAAGATCGTGTAAAAGTAATGGAAATAAGATATGCGACTCTTGGATATCCAGAAAGTCTAAGGCGCATTCTGTCACCAGTCAAAATATGTGTTTTAGACTCAGCTGTGAATTCGAGCACATCTCTGGCAACGATCCTGACTTTGATACTCGAGATGAATAAGCACCAAGATCGGTAAATACGAAATACGTGTAAAATGGCAGTTCGGCACTTCAACAGACGATAAAGCTACGCACCACGTAGGCTTTTGTGTACTATGTAAAATGTAAACCTTCCTTCGTACCCTACTCCAGATAATTTATTATTTCTAGAACGAATTGATAAGCCACGCGGGAAGCTCGTAACAAGCGTAACCTATTAAAATATTGTCGGTCCTTAAAAAACATGGTGAAATCCTTAGCACAAAAGGAAACAGTGATATTGTCTGGTGCGTGTGTACGCACGGATCTTTAAGTGCTTACGCATTGGCCTGCATGACGTAAGCAGGCCGTATTCGCGGTGGAAACAACACGGGAGACCGTGTGTAAGGGGTTGGAGGGACGAGCGGGGCAGAATGGGCGAGATGCTTACTCGCGACCCTCTGGCCCTATTGTATTCGCTCATTGTTGGATCCGTTTTGAAAAAGCTCGAGTTCGAGTCGTTCGACACTCGGTAAATGCGAGAAACGGGACTCGTAGAACGGGCACCAAGTATAGCGAAGGACTCGCACGTAATACTAAATCAATATCCAGGAATGGGGTGCCCTCGGTGTACAGGACGTTTCGAAAATAACTCATCGCGCATAGAGCTTACTAAATGTAGAGAAAGAGGATGGCGCAGGACTCCAGGGGAATAAAGAGAACGAGAGCTCAGGCGGGGAGACACCGAACGGTATACCACTCTAGGGTATATTGCGCTTTTACAATGTTCCACTGTTCATTTGTCATCTGTTATTCAATACTGCGTAGGCTTCTTCTTGGCGCTTGGGTCCATCAAGTGAAATTGGCTGGTCTAACCTTCGAAGGTAGTAGGATCCCTTTTCTACGATCTGACACACGATACCTGTCTCGTAGAAACTGTTTACTCGTTGTCGGAGCAATTTAATGAGAATATATCGTGCAGGGCGTCGAGCATAACCGAGAGTGGCTCCATTATCTTGACGGGTTCGTGTCGGAAGTGAAATTGGCGTGGTATCAATGACGTCTTCGACGGAGCAGCCAAGCGAAACACATATAGCGTCTGTTATGGGTACTCGACAATAGGTCTGTTCTGGTTACCAAAACTTTTTGAAAGGCCCAGAAAGTCTAGGTAACGAGAACGGAATCTTAATGACGTGCGAAACTCTATGTATAGTCTGAAGTTAGGATCGAGTCTGCGTGAGCAATGCGCATGCGCGGTGGCTATGTCCTCCTGGGCGTATGTCATGAATTAGTCGCTTGAAGTCGGCAGTCCTTCTAGGTTAGAGTTATAACTTTATTCCATCAGTATTATTGGACTCGAGTCAGCCTTGCGACCCGCGAAGACAAATACGTTGCAATGACGTGTATCCGAAGGGGTGGCTACTTCGGACTGGTACGCAACGTACAGTCGACGACACGCGGCACACGTCATGGGACTTGCGGGAGAACTCCTGGATCGCAGAGGATTTGAACAGGGGATTGGCTGAGGTTCGGAGGGGTGGTTGGGGACTGGGCCGTACGAGGGTTGGGTAGAAACTCGACTGTCGGCTGGTCACGTGCACGACGTCGCGCGGTTCATTCACCAGCGTTCGTCCACCCCTGCTCGAAAACTCACCCCTAACCACCCCTGTGTATATACGTATCTATATACATATTCGGTATACGTACTGTGTATTCTACCCCCTGTGACGAGCTATCCAACCCTTGTGACCCCCTCATACTCCGCTGCTATGGTCTGTACGGTATATACAGGCTGTCTCGAAAGTCGATTTTCTCCTGGGGCATTCTCGTGAGAGAATTCAGGGAAAACTTGCCTCGCTTCTTTACAAGTTTGCGAATTTTTTTCTTTTTCGTTTATTGTAAATTTAATCAAACCACGAGGGGCGAGTCTGTTGCTGGGTGAATCATGCTGTTCTGACGTTATTCCGATGAACTGCCTTTATTTATACACAAATAGGGTAATTATTTATGCGCTTTATTATTATTTTGGTTCGTTTCGCCTGGGGGTGGGATTTCGTTGGTGAATAACAGTACGCGGATAGAGCGGAGCTGCGTTATACAAGTGAAAAAGTGGGACTTTGTGACGTCACAAAGAGGAAGCCGCGAAAGCGTGCGAAAAAAGATGAAAAAAAAGCGAGAAGGGAAGTTGGGTTGAAAATGAAAAGAAATAGTGAAAATGAAGAATAAAAACGAAAGGAACGGTTCGCGTTCTCGCAAGTGACTAGTGAAATCAAAAGCACATGAACTTCATAATGGATGTTCTAGAAGTGCGATCGATATTCGTACAATGGAGTAGAAAGTCCAGTGCTACACGGTATTGGAATGTCTCGATTAGAAATTCGTAAAAGCTCTCATCTCATCTCTAGAGAAAGCCTCAGTACGGCGGCTGGTGCTGCCGCAGCAGGTGATGCATTGTTGAAATGGGCTTCCACCTGGTGTCAGGATCTTTTCTGATTTGCATTTCCGGCCAGGAAGATTCCGTACCCTTGCCGTTCAGCCACTCTTGGCACTGTACAAAATATGTTTAGTTACGTATCAAGTAATTGTTTCGATTCGTTATATATAGTCCTGACCGAAAGAGGTTAGGCGCTACTAATAGCCCCTAATTCTCGTATTGACAAACGGATGACTTATTTACATAGCCTGACTTTGTTGGCTTCTCATTAAACAACTAACTTCAGTACGCTGAATCGCTAACGACCGGGAAGTTAGAGTTCTGGAATGACAACGTCAATTGGCATATGGGATTTCTTAACGCGCGCAATGGAGCAGACTGGAAATTAAGATTTCCCGAGATACCTGTGAACGATTCGACCGGCTGGCAACTGCGAAGCGGCGGCTTCCCAATGGGCTACCGGATCTCGTTAAATTCCCAAACGTATTCATATGCGAGGAAGTTTCCAGCGACCCATATGTCGCCCTCTCTATATTCATAAATTGTACACCTATACGTATTAGCCAGCGTTAACCTGTGCGCATGCGCGGTTGTTCGTAACGGTATCGAGTCAATGAAATAAAATCTTCCCTTTATTTTATGTAGATTATTTTCACTATGCGCCTGCTTTATATTTTTATATCGCAACTACTCAGACATTTTACGTACCATTGAAAATTATTATCAGTCGGGTTGTTTTGTTATCGGGTGAATGATTTTAAAAATTTCAAAATTTTTTGCTACTTGGCTTCATTTATTCATTGTTATTTTTACTCTGTACAAGTATTCAATGTTTTTCTGTCGAGTTGTTCGGTGGGCGTGGCAAATGTATTTGAGAAAAAATTTTCACGGGTTCGACAGCATCGACAGATGCGCAGGCACCCACGTGGATACTCGAACCCGACGGTAACAGATCCTGGTGTCTTCCTATCTCGAGTTCCTCAGGCCGGTTTCCTTGCGTGAAGTTTCTGCCTGGAATGACAGCTGTGGATTTTTTAAATCGTCGGGTTAACATCTGCCGCAAACCCAGCACGATGTTCCAGGTCTGTGGTCACTTCTATTTGCTTCCATTTGAGATCCTGCTCGAATCGTATACCGTGTCTTTTCGGAAACAAAGCGACAGACTAACAAAAACCATTCACCAGCTCCATAACTCGTTACAGTGTCATTGTAACGTGAAAAAAAAATTTTACAAATCATTTTTCAATTTTACTCTAATCACATTATCAACGAGACGTGCATCTTCGCGTGTTTAGTTTTCCATACGTAACGGTCCGCACGCCACTGGTTTTCGATACATATTGATTGGATCGTTAAGTTTCCCTCGTAAAAAGTTTATCACTCGTAACCCGGAGATTATCGTTTTCTTTGCTTTAACGTTGAGTAAGGTCGGGAGACAGAAAGAAAACAATCGAGCCTATGATTTGGTTAACAATATTATTATCAGCCATATTTACTCCAACACGTCATTATACGAAAAAAAAAGCCACTAAATACACAATTAATATTTTCTAATAAAAATTTAAGTGACCGTAAAACCCGTGCCCTAGAAAAAAGAAATTATATCCCAAGTTAATGTAACACGATACTGCTGCCTCTACCTTAGCACATAGTCGCGCGCGTATACCGAGTGTCTATTTTTTATGAGCCGTATACTCATACAGATTTCTACATAAAAGCCAGAGAGACACAATGCCGTATTGTTTGGCATCAGGTAGCCAGAGTTACAATATACTATGCTGGCTCAGGTGTTTGCGAGTCCTTGCAGTTATTTCCCGTTTCTAGAACCAAGTATAATATATCAGTGTGTCCGGTTGTCGAGAAAAAAAAAATTTTACAGGCATACAAAAACGTACCTATCGTACGTAGATACATTTAAAAAAAATCATTTTCAGATATAATTATTTGAATTTATCCAATAATTCGAATAGCTCCTCGAGGGATTCTCAAAACTATTGAAACAGGTTGTACCCGTGTACCACATTGAGAAATGGTCTCTTATCGTTTATGTCGTGGCAAAGATGCTAAATGGTACGTACTCCAGACAATTAATGTGACAAGAACAGAATGGAGCAAATAGTCAGTCGGACTGGCCAACTTCTAAGCAGTGAAGGAGACAGTCAGTGAGGCAGAGGAAAGCAGGCAGCCGGGAGACAAGTCCACTATAATAATCCGGTATACCTTTTGGTCCCTCGAACGAGTAACCGAGTCTCTCTCTTTCCTCTCCTCTCTCTCTCTCTCTCCCCCCCCCTCTCCCCTCCCCTCCTCCCGCCCGGTTTTCTCTGCCGGTTCTGGAAGGGTCTGCAAGTCGACAGGCCGTTGGTGCCGATGGCATCCACAGTTCAGCCTCGACCTCTCGAGATTTCATCCTCGCACTATACGCCGAGTCGACTTGACTAAAGAGATCGAAAGAAAGACTTTCCCAGGATATTTCCTTTCTCCTTCCCTCGTTACTACCGATCCTCTTTCGGCTTCAGTGTTATTGCTCATTGATTTTGTGCTTCCTCCTGTAATTGTATTTTTACTCCTTACTCCCGTTTATCCGGTTCCTTCGTAATCCCAGCTCGATCGATCGGAATTTTTGATCCTTTGTATTTGGAAATTCGCGTATCGGTGCTCGTGAGAATTTGGTTCGACGTCACTCTGCGGTAATATATTTTTTTGCGCGTTTACGTAAAAGTGACATAAGTGCTGTGAAAAGAGTGGTTAAACTTAACGTTGACGGAATTTAATCATGTTTACGATGAACTACTTACGATAAGGACAAATAGGGATGGCAAGTTCCTTTACCTTTTGTATCTCGTTTTTTTCCCTCGTTCTTAGTATCTGTCTATATATCTATAGATAGTTACATGTTTCAAGGTTGGACTGTATTTTCAGAAGTCGCGCGTGAGAAAAATTTTCACGTGTTCTCGATGTCACCGCAAGTGACAAGTGTTCAAATTACATATCGTAACTTACCTTAGAAAGATTCAGTTTAGCTGTTAGCTACCCTGGCATTATCTGCCATGAAGATTTTAACGGATTTCATTCGATGATGAACAGTATCTGCATTGACGATAACGTTATCGCCGTACCGATTCTCCGTGTATCCCAAAGATACAGTGAAAATTCAAATCATCGAATTGCTACGATTATCCATTGAAACTGACCAGAACGATAAAAAGTTAATCATTCCGGAAGTCGATCGTTCCATCTGTCAGATGGCAAACTGAAGCTCCGTCTACCTTAAACGGAAGCTGCGCCCTAAGCTTGGCAGCCATTAACACTAAATAGGTTTAAAATCTCGATCCCCAAACTCCAGTCGGCTAAATATTTTTTGCTAAAATACCGGTATACTCATACGTATACTCAGCCGTCAGAAAAGATCACGTAATTTGCACGGTAACGAATTTAATCGATAACAATATTACGAAATGTTGATATCAAAATGACGTCGTGTTATTATTTACGATCTCAGTGCTGAATTGTAAAAAAAATATTTGTCAGTAACTACCCGTATGCATTCTTCAATCCCATTGCATAAATCTTTTGGCCCTGGTTTACATTGCGCAACATTCAAACCGCCTGCGTCGGTAGTAAGTCGCGGCCGAATGAACTCGACCTGTAACTTCGCTCCGATACGTATGGATGAGAACCTTTTGTAGCTAGATGGATGTTCCGTTTGAGAGCAATGCACTTTATTCTTGTCCGCCCAATAACTGGCCTTCCTGTAACTTTGTATACTGTGCGCGCCCACTACAGTATATCTATATATATACTCTATATGCATATACATCCGTGCTCTATTCTCTCGTATATACATACGTATACGCTACACCCAGTGCGACTGTTTTACTTATCCACAGACAATACTAGTATAACGTTAGACACGCGTTTGTAAACCATAACGATATTGGCAGCTGACGAATACTCGATTAATTCTTGGCGAGATAATCGAGGGAGAATTATTTTATAAAACAATTATCACGAGCGCGCGTTTAAATGCGTGTAATTTCATGCAATCGGGTGTACATATATAGGTATAACGTTTAAAAAGGTGTTGCATATAAAGCAGAGGATTGATAGCGATTTGCATAGTGGTTGCCTTTAGCTATACCAGGCGGACTTGCAATTAGATGCCAATTTAGCTGGTAGCCGTGTAGATCCAGCGTAGGGAGAAATTTATGTGAGTCAATGGGATTTTGTTCTTTTTTTTTTACTTAAACGTAAGTTTCCATGACACTGGCATTCGTGGGGGTATGAATATTCAAGGCTGATCTTGTAGACCTGTCTACGGTGAATGCGAGGGAAATGGGTGATAATATTTAGCTGTATTTCGGTGGCTTAGGGTACTACGGCCGTGTCAGAAGTTCTGCTTTGGAAATTTGACGGGTGGCGGCGTAAGGTGTAATACGTCATGCGTTAGCTACTGTACGACAGGTACGACCTGGGGCCATAGGTTACGCGTAATAACCAAGAGAGGAAAAGCGTGTAATAGTCACTCATGCGTCTCTATGATTCTTCCTTGGAAACTTGGAGTTTCTTTGGCGTTCCTCTGCCAATGCTACAATGCACGTATTGTGCGACGTATTTCAGAGCTAACCTTGTTAACTTCATTTTCTTGATATTTTAGTATGCAAATGCATAATTAATGAAATGCCTTTAATCTCTGCTTCCTCGAAATGAAACGAGGGTTGTTTTGCTTTGCTGTATATATATATATATATATATACGCCTTTAACGTTCGTACTTTCTCGGTAGTTTCTTCGTTAATTAGCAGACACATCTCGTATAGCTTCTTTAGAAGTTGAAACGAGGGTTGTTTTGCTTTGCTGGCTAACCTTGTTAACTTCATTTTCTTGATATTTTAGTATGCAAATGCATAATTAATGAAATGCCTTTAATCTCTGCTTCCTCGAAATGAAACGAGGGTTGTTTTGCTTTGCTGTATATATATATATATATATATACGCCTTTAACGTTCGTACTTTCTCGGTAGTTTCTTCGTTAATTAGCAGACACATCTCGTATAGCTTCTTTAGAAGTATTGCGTCACCCTCGAACCTCTGCAAAATTTAATTTGACTTCGGGAAATAATTTCTTTGTCAAATTAAATTTTTTTTATTTGTGCCTGGTATTTTTCTTTGTTGCAGATATCAGGAAATTTAATTTTAATTTTGCGAATTAACCGCACACTGTGTGCTTCGCTTTAGGGCTGTCTAACACCATAACGTGTTGCGTCATCATGATGGATTAAAATGTATATGAGAGTGTCGCTGTTCCCAGATGGGCGTGTCTGAGGCACAAGGTATTATGCATTTTTTACACGTGTAAATTAAGGGAACTTTGTACGAATTCAGGAGTGAAAATGGCATTGCGTTTGCTCTGTACGAGGATACGTGACCTTAGCGACTTGGTATAATACCGAGCAGCGATACTTTTGTCGTGGACTGTCTATTGGTCCCGCGTAACGATGGAATCTTGTCGGTCGACGACTAACGTAATATCCTGAGATTGCGAATTTTCATCGGTCATCTACCAAAAGGTCGATCTACGATTTGACCCACGTCACTGGGCAAATGACGCGACGTCGACGTTTTCAGGAAATTTGATTTTCTCGGTAGAATAAAAAAAGATACGTTTATTTTTTTCTATATTTTTTTTTTTCTTTCTCCGCTTTCCAATTTACTCGTCTCCCGTCTTCAACGAGAAAACCAAATTGAACCCGAAGTGGAAGAACGCGATTTGAAATAGCGATTACTAGACCGTGAACGATTTTACCTAAATATTCAACGTTTTTAATGGAATTCATCTTCCAGCCGCAAATAATACACTATGCTATATTCGTACGCAATTATTCGGAAATCAGGGAATTTCATGTCGCGTGGATATCAAGGTGTCGAGATATCGTAAAGTCAAACTTAAACCATTTACGTCCGCGTTCTCTTGTCTAAATTTATTACCAAACTTTAGTCAGAGACTTAGTCCTCGCAGTAAGATCGTACGACACGTGACGCAATAAATCAAGCGAACACCCCGACAACTAAAAAGTGTATATGCCACTCAGATGCTCGACACAATAAATATTGTTTCTTGCTACAAGGAATTTGAACAATTTTCAAAGAAGACGGCGCACCTGGGTAACCAATGTGTCCTTACGACTTTGAAAATACCGATTACCTAAGCAGCGTCAGTTATAAATATAAAGATTGTGAGTAACGGATAAAACGATTATACACATTTCTCTTGTGTATCGCCAGCATGAGCAGTAATGAAATTTAGTGGGAACAAGGTAAAACATAAATTTATCGAACGTCAGCGCGATTCAATATTAATCGACCCGGTTGGTCAGTGTAATATAAACAATACTTCTATACCGAAAATTTCGAGAAACATCACCCTACAGATCGCAGCGTCTGCTGGAATCAACAAGAAGCAAACCCACCCGACATTATTTAACAGAGCGATATGCAATATTGAAAGCTGATATAGATCGACGACCAGCGTCCCGACGTAACGAGGCCGATCGTACGATATTCGGTAGAAAATGGTACCCTGTAGCCTCGTATATTACCGTTTTCACGTGACACGGATATTCCTATAGCAATAACAAGCCCCTCTCTTAAATCAATAACCACATCGATATTCATCGCATGATGAAGACTCATTACACTAGTCTACCGTAATGAAAGGTATACGTATAGCCAGTGGGGTTCCGCTGGAACTGCTGGAACCGCTGGAACCGCCCAGAAGAGTTTCCGTTATAATTTACTTTAACTCGTTCGTTTTACTCGAATAAACAGTAGCAAAACAGTAAAAATTACTACAGCGATGTTAACTTCGTCCCGAATATAATTATAGGTGTTCAGAGTTAATGACTCGTTAACGTAATAAAGTATAACAAGATTCGTTCGCAGCCTGGTATACAATTTAAAAACATTTTCCAGTTCGTCCCTCGACTACCACTCTTCAATCCTATAGTTTTCGGATTGTTTACAGGCTGTTTCAGAAACCAGATTCAGGAATATTTTACATATGCATCGCGGTAGCTATTGTGAATTTGTACGACGAATAGAGTTTAATACGTATAATTCGTGTACTGGATTTGTACCGGTTATTCAGTTAGATCAGTATTCAGGTAGGATGTGTATGCATACAGTACACAGAGATCGTATATGGTATCGTTACCTCATCAATTTAGCAAATAGCCACTCACCGGATCGTGTTTCGCCCTAGCTTTATAATTAATTGCGCTAGCGACGTATAGAGTCCGATTCGTAGGATCAGAATAATCTGAGGTCCGGAGTTAGGTTAGGTCAGTTTCCATTCCATCGTTGAACACTTTGAATCGCTCTATTAGGCCGATACGTAACTGAGCAATATCGAACAGTGTTACGATATAAATTTATTTTCGTGTAAATACATAATAATTTGAAGAAAAAAAAAAAAATATATATATATATATATATATATATATATGCCGTTTTGACGCCGATTTCAATTCGATAGGATATCCATCTTGCAGATGAGTGCTTTTTTCCAAGTGATACTTGCAAGCTGAAAGCGAGTGTTTGGCATTCAGTGAAAATGAGTACCGCTATCGATAACGGTGTGGACGCTTCGAAAGCTCAAGGTGCGTTCTTGAGAGCTTTTACAAAACGCGTACAGCCCTTCGAAGAAGGTGAGTCCTGCGTAACGGCGTACACCCCTTGGTATGAGGAAGATGGGGAGGGATGTTTATTGATTGGGAACTTCCGTGGTTGATGTTGACATTTCCTTGTTCGAGCTTTCAGATTTAATTGCTTTTCTTTTTTCTCTCTCCCTCTTGTATACATATACAATTATACATATCATTCATTATTTTATAGCTTTAATACATATTTCCTTTTTATTTACCTGTACTCGTAGACTTACAATACCCCATTGTGCTATTGGTATACCGCTGCTTATTATAATGCCTCTTAGATGTACCGTATAAATAATAAATATATTCTACATACTCGTACCATTGTAGTAAGTTTTAAGAAACGGGGCTCACGTTACCTAAATTATTCTGCAATGGAATTAATGAGAATTTTCAAATTGGAGTATCTGGGTCATGCCTGACAATGGGACGTAGAGGGTATAGATACGTCGTGACCCCTCCCGGTGGAGGCAAGTGTCTGCTATCCACTTGGCGATACGAACGGACGAAAGGAAGAGCTTAAAACAGTCCGTAAGCCGTTGGGTTCGACGACTAATCCGTGGTATTTGTTGCAGCCCTCAAGAGTCTGAACTGCCTGAACAAGGAAGGTGAAGTACTTGCTCTCGAGGATGACGTCACAACGCACCCCACCCTGGCCTTGATGCGCCGCATCCTTGCAGATGCTCAGGTGAGTGAAAAGGAAAGAATCTTTTTGTCCGAGTAGCGCGAACGAGAGAAGAAATTGGGAAGAAACGAAAATGAACGTAATCCTAAAATCTCGTAACTCGATCGATCATATCTTCTCGTTAGCGAATACAAATGATCCTTCGGAGAAGAAAGATATTTACCCAGCGTTCCCTGTCAACCGAGTCAGGATGAAATATGGCTGCAGGTTATGCGATGAATGCGTGGTTTATTAAATGCTATGAAAAAAAAGTACACGGTTTCGCGCTCGTGCATGAAAATTCTTGAGAACAGTGGCGCCGCCATTTGACGCGTGGCGTCATGCTTTAATTAAAGTCTTGTTCCGCGGCTTACAATCCTACCTAACCTCTGGACTCTTTTGGGAGGATTTCGTTTCCGGCATTAAGACTTCTTCGCCCACGAATATATTCCCGTGTAGCTAAACCAACCCTGGTGCGGCATTGCGCATTAATAATGAACGGCTCTTCTACACTGCAAACTATTGTTACTGCGTTGCTGCCAGTCCGCGAACTCTACCGGCGCTCCGCATCCGCAATAACATCTGCAGCCATATCCACGTGAGAATTACTCCTTCCTGGCTCGACCCATTTCAACTTGCTACTATCACTGCTACGAGGCAGCACTATGGCTGTCGACGCGTCCCCTGGGTTGTCTGTAATATTTATTAAGAGAAGTCGAGTATGGCTGAGTATCGGATAAAGGAGGAACTAGAAAGGAACTGTAGACTTCCTGCTGCTTATGTCTATTGGGACAGATAAAGACAAATTATAATGACATTCTTAAAGCCATGCATCTCTCAAGACTCTTTCAGACCAGCTTAACGTACTACTGTTGGCAGGAAGAGTCGAATGATTGTTTATATTGCTTGTCGTACCGGCGAGTTTGTGCGTTTAGCTTGAAAATTGTATTTTGTATAGGAAAAATGGAAAAATCGCGAAATTCGTCAGGGCGACGTAATGCGAATCAGCCCTAAAGATACCTCACTTAAATTAAGAGTGGGCTGAGCCTCCTTTCTTATATCCTCTTCCGTGCAATTAAGCACGTATACGTGGCTGAGTGTTGCTGGGAAAAATTGTCGGGAAAATTCGTTTAAAAATTGACAATATCGAGTGTGGGTGTTAATCTACGTTAATTAGTATTAACGAGCATAGGGGAACGTTTTTTTTTTCTTCTTGATTAAAAGATATCACCACGTATTTCATCTATAATAGAGCAATACGCGCGCTCGACGCGCGACGAAAGACAGCAAAGCTCTGAACAGATACAGTTTCATTCTGCATAGCTATTCTAGAATATTTCTGTACCGCGCAACCAATTTAGACTAATGGTGTTTTCAAAGCCAATCAAATTTTTAATTAATCTAAATTTAAACCTTATAAATTTTTCATAATTGCACCATGTTACTTCTAAGCCAATTGTGATATTCACGGATGTATTACTCCTTGTCTAAAGCGATCTATCTCTGTTGAGCCGCAACAACGATTTCCAAAATCAACAAAATTCATTTTCAAACTTACATTAATATCTGTTTATAGTAACTAGACTGTTCACTTACCAACTTGTGACTTTATCAAACGATCCATTTTTTTTTCTATACCAACAATCCCTTTCTGCATCGTCTGGTGTCATATCGACTTAGCTTTACTTTAACGTTCATCATCATTGACTAACGTCAAACCACATTTACCTAAAGCAGTCAGCCTGTTTTTCGAACTGCACGTTCATACTCATCGAATGACGATAACGACAGCCAATGGTAACTCGAATAAAGCGAAAATTTCGCTAAAAACTGTCATGGGTTTTTTTTTTGACTAAAGGAAGGATTATCGAAATATTATTTACATATTTGCACAGTATGACGCCGGCGAAAAATACCGGTCGTCAATATTGGATTTGATTTTTCTCAAAGGAGTCATTCGTGCTGACATAATTCTGTTGAATATTCTACGAGTAGGAAGTGTTCGACACTATGAATATGTACTTCGTATAAATTATATATGTATATATAGTATGTATATGTACTTCCATATCAAGTAACTCATTCATGTTTCACAGTCGAATTTATTTGTTAACCGAGGCTGATATACATTTTTGCTTCGAAATATGGATAAAAATGTAATTTCGTGCACCGAAAGCCTTTTTGCAAAGCCTTTCTGTTTTTCTGTTATGCAAAAGCTGTTTGCACGGGGAAGGGGGGTCTCATTTGCGAATGAATAGCCCGTGGATATATCTTGCATTATACTTTCATGTACATAATTACAGCGCTGTGATTCTTTAAAGTTTGCCTAACAATGTGCCTTTTAAATGAACTCTCTTTGTAATGTAATTTGCAAAAGTTTCGTTTCTCGTTGGATATTATTATATCGTTAACGCCGACGCATCTTTGTTCAGGGGTGAAAATAAGGTCTACGATTATTTCTAATTTTTCATATATGTAAAAGTAGTTTCAGCGGTATATCGGTATACCGCTGACACTCTGTACGTGCGTACGTATCGTAATCGTTAGTGCGGAAGTAACGGTAAAGCTGCGGCATGTTTATGACTTCCGGTAACAGGTTGTGTTTATACGAATTTTCAAATTTACACAATTTTCTACCTGGAAACTTCATTAAGATATTTCAAAGTTCAAATTGCGGTATTAAAATCGAAATTTTTTCAAATTTTCAAAAATTGACGAATCTTCGTCTATTTTGTATATTCAGTGGTTTTGGTAGCTGTGTATATTGAAAAATTGAATGAATTTTAAGCACGATGTAAATTTTTCTTCACTCCAAGAGGATTTGATGTGGAGTGACCTGTATGGTAGTATACGTTATTTACGCCCCAATAACTGCACTGCACTGATATATTTGCGCGACGTACTGCTACAGGTACGGATTTTTACATTGAGTAGCATAGGAACGTGATACATCTACAAGTACCTAGAATCTATGTGAAATTGGGGTACCTCGGTAAGGGTACCTCGAAGTATTTAATTATATTGTTGCATTCGCCGCTTTTTGATTAAGACTGCTCTACGGTTAGGGGTATTTTGGAAAAATATTTAGCGAGAAAAATCTAAAGAAAAGAATACTTGGAAATCTTAAATGATCCTTCGAAGTGCTCGAATAACGTTACCGGATGTTCCAAACGAAACACAGGAACCGTTTGCTCAGATAAGGTTTCCTTAAAAAGCCATCTACATTTTACGGACGCCATATCTGGAATTTATAGTTATATTTTTTTTTTGCAATAATTCAATTTACATGATTTTATAAGTTACTTCCCGTTACTATTAAGCGTTTACCACGAATTGAAATAAATATTGTTTCGCTTATCGAATGAAATTTATCTCGATATCGAAATTCCAGTTGTCAAGAAAATTCGTAAATTTATTTCTCCAATAATATCTTCGTGACCTTTCAGCCTCTATCGGTCTTTTATCTTGTTCTCTTTCTATCACGTTTTCACACCTTCTCCACCTCCCATTGCTTTTCATTACCCATTCTTGCTTCCATATTGTACGCACGTAAAAAAAGGGAAGCTTTCATTCTTACGTTATTAATATGCACACCTACGTGAAATTCATATGGTCCATAGAAGTCGGAGATTATGCGAGGAGCTATTTACGAGATTAAATTCCATTAGATTGGAACAATTTCGAATTGTAGTTGCAATAATAAAACATTTTCACTGTCTTTCGTACACGACGCCGTACGCCACTCGGTTTATTATTGTGTCCGAACAATTCAGTAATATTGCGCCAGACGTAATTAAGCGATACCGAATTTACTACGTAATGGAATAACCTTCTCTGGGAATTTATGGAATTTTCATATTGTATCCTTAGACTGGTACAGTACGCATTCCTGGCATCTCATGCGTGTATCTGTTTCTACACGCGATAACATCACATTACGTAAAACGTTATACGACGCAGAAAATTGGAGCTTCTTGGATGAAATTTCGATCGATTCTGGTAAAAGGGAAAAAAGTGACACTTTAATGAAATATCAATGACACGTCGCGATATGTTATCGAGTCGCATCGAATGATTGTTGTCACTTTCTTGCGATGTTGATTAGTCGGGTGATCTGTGCCAATTTGCTGTTTTCGACAGCTAGGGTTACTAGGGGCATGAAGGATATTGACAGATGTCAAAAGAACAGACACGCATGGTCCTAGACAGTTTTGGTCACATTGGCAAGAGTTGATCGAGATATGGTTAATGCATTAATTTATTCGTGACAAAATTAATTAAATACAGATGAGAAGAAGGCTGACTGACTGTAAATAGATATAATGAGTCATATCACGATAATTTGTCGAATCGTACCGAAGTCAAGAATCATTGTCAGTTTCTGCAATACCGATTAGTCGGGTGAATGTGAAGCTATGCTCTAACATGCCGTTTTGAATTTAATCCTCGAGGTATGCATAAATGACATTTTCAGCTTTATTGTAACGTGTCGGTGATAAATAAAAATTGTAGAAATTTCATTGAAAATTCCTATAGAATTTTATTATAAAGTCATTACAAATCACAATGTCAGGTCATGCCCATTGCGTTTGATTTTAAATTATTATATTTTCTATATTGTATATTGTATATTGTATATCTCTCATCGGTAAAGAACTCGTATTATGCATAACTTATGGATTAAAAATGTGTCGAAATTCTATCAGCTCTTTTGCGCATTGCCGAGGTACGTCGCGACGTCGAGCGTCACTCTTTTCACCCTTGAGCAGCATAGCCACTGGTTATAAGGGCCTAAGGTAAACGAGCAACAAAATTAATCTGGGCAAACTTAAAAAAGGGCTGCCACGTATATTATATGACGAAGTGGGTGTCGTTCATAATTTTAAGCGAAGGAGGTTGACTTATCGGAAATTTGTGTCAATCGATGTTATTTATACATTCACGCTTGCCGCGAGGCTCGATTTATTTTTCGTGCAGAATTTTTGTACGGAAACATTTTTTTTCTTTTTTACCCTCCATCCGCA